GTACGATGTCAAAAGAAAATTTTGATTTTAAAAGCACTGTCTTATTTCTCTCTTTTATGTGAAATATTAAATACTATGATATAATATTCCTTGACTGCTAAAAAAGTGTTAACTGAGATATCAAATCACTTTTAAACTCTTAAATCTTTATAACACTCAAGGATTACCTCTATACATAAAATTTACCAAAAGCCCCAACGTCAGCTTAGCTATTGTAACAGGAAGAATTAGAAAAGAGACTGTGATGAGTACTTTTGTATGTTATAGTGTATCTATATTCAAGGTATTATATCTGTAACCAAGCACAAATTCTATTCTGTATGCGTTTAACGTATCAATTAATTTATAAGACCTGTGTGTGTATTACTGAAACTAGCGCATCTTAGGCTGCATGAAAATTTCTTTTTTACCATTTTAAGTCTCACTGTTTACTGGTGTAGTTCATGTTGTAATTTAAAGCCTAAAACCATATTTAATGTCTGCTTTTGTACTAAATTTCCGATTTTCTTCGTTTTTGATTCGTAAAAATTCTAGGTTGATAGCAGAACTGCAATACTTGGTTTCGTAAAATTGCCTTTTTTTCATCCAAAAAATCTGTTGTACGATTAATCACGAAATGTCCACATCGTTGCTAGTCCGACTAATTATTCCAAAGTAAAACTTTCATATAACATAACGGGTACAGCAAAGGATAAATTCGTGTTCTACGTTCTCGTCAAAAGATATGGAAATATTTTCAATTCGTATGCGATTCAATAATTTTTCATCCTTTATTACAATCAATCGTATGATCGAAATGTGTTCTTAGTATCCGATTGGCAGTTAAAAAGTACTACTACTCAAACAATTGGCTTGTGTAGAAAAATTGATGTCTATTTCAATTAGTCGCATGACAAGTTTTCTGGAGATTGATCAAAGATTAATACGATGTAGAAAATAACAGTTGAATCATCACGAAACCCCGTACATGTATATTACGTTTCAGAACTTAATATTTAAAGAAAAACAATTGCAAGACAAAGATTTTGATTGATTTCTGCTTGCTTAACATCCGGTGGAAAATACGTCGTGCATGTTCAGGACGAGAAAGGCATGAAAGAATTTTCCCCGACTAACGTATTAATTTAACGTTTAATATTTTCTTTTTCTTTATAAATTGAATAAAACTTAAATGTCTAACATGTTTCGTCGTCCCTAACAAATGTTTTAAAAAAATGTCTCGTAGGTACGATAGATAAAGAATACTAGTATATATATCTTTGATCCTCGCTTTCTATAGTTTGAAATTTTAAATCTGCTCCATAAAGCTTCATTTTAAAATTGTAAAAAGTTTACTATTTATAACTGCAGTATTATAGTATATAGTGTGCTGGTCACTGCTTTCACTGGTATATATACATTTTATTTAATACTGTAGCGGTTTCTTTCCGCGCATTACATAACTTTGTCCATTAATTTTGCTCCATGGATAGTTGTTTAAACCCACATCTCTTAAGTTATAATCAAATAGAGATCAAATAAGTATATCTTGTATAGAAAAAAAACTATCTACCTATGCACCTTCGATGATCTCGAGGGGGGTTCTGCCAGTGACGATAAGGGTACAATCGTAAGATTTTGATTGAACTATGACATGTATGAAGAGATGTATAAACATACACCGGCTGGTTTTCTAGATGTCTGAATGAATTTTAACTTGCATCTGTAATGTATTATTAAGACGATTGTAGTACTAAGATGTTGATTTTTTTTAATTGTCGTACCTTTTTTTTTATATCCCTTGGTCACTTAAAAAGACATAGTTATTATATCATTATGTATAAATAGAAGTGGAGAAGGAACTATTGGCTCCTGAGTTCACCCCGGTTTTTGGCGTAGTTCATCGTCTTTTGGTCACTGGTGGATAATTGTCTCATTGATATTCATACCACATCTCTTTATACTTGTAGTTTAGTCGTTAGTTTTCTGTGTTATTTTCTATATGGTTTGATAATGAATAAAAAAGATAACGGGAATCACCAAAAATACTGGACAAACAATCAACGCCCGACTGCCCTGAACAAAGTACAATAATTTAGAAACAGCAAAGAATAACACATGGTTCAGAAAGCCTGACTTTTTACATGCATAACATGTGATGAGGTTAATAAGCTTTACGTGCACACAAACCTCTATTTAGATCGTACACAAACGTTGTAACACTAAAACACACAATAAAACATGCACAGTGCAGCGACCAACACTCGTGAACAAGTAAATAAAACAAAAGCGGAATATAATTTGGAAAACAACGTCCTCTTTTCTCTGGCCACGGTCTGTTTTTCTTTGACATGTGGTTGTTGATTGCCAATGATATTTTCCTTCTCCCTTTTTAATCAGATAAAAAGTGCAACTATAGTCTTGATGACTGAATGCTCTAGGACGATGGGCAGTACAGGTATGCCATGAAACAACAAAAATAGAACAAGAATTACATGATCAAAAATGCTTTTTAGAGTATATTGATGTGCAAACTGGACAGATTAACTTACAAACTGATAAAACCCCGAAAGACTATTATGTAAGGTTTGTGAGTTAGCATAATTCCATTCTCAATTTTATTAGGATCAAATGTGTTTAATCCTTATAACTATCAACCCAAACATTTGTTATTTTTTCTTTCTTTTCAAATTCATTTAAACCCTCGGATTCCATACATGTGTATTGAGTATGAATATATCCCAGCAAAATCGAATGTTTTATAGGTTACGAAAATAGTTCATGCATTTTTTCGAGGTGTAAATCAAGGACACAAGTTCTAACGGCCCAATTCAGACATTTGTTAATATGGAATACATGTTGTATTTACAGTATGTTGGAATACATGTTGTATTTACAGTATGTTGGAATACATGTTGTATTTACAGTATGTTGGAATACATGTTGTATTTACAGTATGTTGGAATACATGTTGTATTTACAGTATGTTGGAATACATGTTGTATTTACAGTATGTTGGAATACATGTATTTACAGTATGTTGGAATACATGTTGTATTTACATTATGTTGGAATACATGTATTTACAGTATGTTGGAATACATGTTGTATTTACAGTATGTTGGAATACATGTTGTATTTACAGTATGTTGGAATACATGTATTTACAGTATGTTGGAATACATGTTGTATTTACAGTATGTTGGAATACATGTTGTATTTACATTATGTTGGAATACATGTTGTATTTACAGTATGTTGGAATACATGTTGTATTTACAGTATGTTGCAAGTAAATAATAAATTTCGTGTTTCTGAAGTGCTTTTCTTGATATACCTTCATCAGGAACACTCAAACCCAAACATTTGAAGGCCAGCGACTCTTTTCACAAAAATTCTTAAGAGTAAATACTCGTTAGTCAAACACATTTCAGTATAACTTACGATCAATTTTAATCGTAAGATTATTTGTGAAAAGAGTCGCTGGAACGTATAAATACGGGGAAACGTTAAGGGGATATATCACCAAAAACATGAAAAGAATTATAGCAAAATTAGGCTGGGGCGCACTCTGCGTAAGGCAGTTGAAACCTTACTTTCTTGGAAATTTCATAATTTATCAACCGGGAATTTAGAAAATTGTGATATACATCATGTCGGTACCGAAACACTGATTACTTAACTAATCATAACCTCAGGCACTCAAACTTCTCTGGCAGTTGTCCAAACCCAGTGCTAGTTACTAGCAATAATAGTTATAAACTGCATTCGCCCTAAACGCTTTGCGTGTATTAACCTTCACCACGAACCCTGGCCTCAAACCCAAACATTTGAAAGCTAGGAATGTATAAATACGTTGACACGTTAGGCGCTATATATGACCAAACAGGACCTAAAAACAATAGCCAATTCAGATAAGCCGTAGAGAGATGGAGCCTTAGTTTCTTGTTAACTATTTCTTATTAATGTATCAACACTCAGCTGTTATTATGTCGTCAAGTTAGAAACAATAGTGTAGTAAATACATTTGAAATTCTGCATAACACTTTCCGCTAATGGTGTAATGTCACCTTCTTGAGTTATGACGAGCGTCTTATTTGTGACATAGGGCTTTAATCATTGTAATCTATAGGTTTTTTTAAATACAATATATTAATAAAGTTACAAAGAGAAACACTAAAGAAATCGTTGCTTTAAAATGACCATGTATAAAAGGAAAACAATATGATAAACATATTTATATACCAGGAAACAATGAACACACTTTCTTTTTTAAATCAATTAGAATCTCATTGACAAATACATTATCACTTGTAATTCAGAAACATTATCGAACAGATCATGAGTAATAACCATACAAATTGTGTTTTGTGTGATAATTGTTTTCATATCAATAAACTTATAAAGAGGTACTATTATATTACATAGGCTTGGGAAATAAATTAATTACACGTAACGAATTGGAGTCTTTTATCACTGTTTTACTTATTTTTTCAACAACAAGTTGTCTTAAATGGCGACAAGTTTCCATATAGAGTCCTGTTTTTTTTTGTTTTTTTTTTGGTAGAAATGGAATAGCTAATTTTATAACTATTCTCGTTCAGTGTGAATTTTTTTAAAGAATTTGACCGTATATCTATCTTACAGAATATTAAAAAAAAACTTTGGTTCACATAAGCAAAATGAGCGGATTTGGTATTTTCGTCAGGTAAAACTCAGTATTCTGTTTAGTTCTAGTATGAATTTTGAATTTAATGTCCGTTAAATCGGTATCATCTAATAGAATTTAATATAACTGGATTTTAGTTTCTGTTCTTTTATGTTTCTTTTAGTATTCTACTGATTGAAATTAAAAAAAGAAAGGATCCTCATTAAACTATGCTAGCACCAGCGCATATCAATGTGTCTGTCCAAATCTCGTTACTTTGTACAATAGTAAATTTCCCATTCAAAAAGCATTTATCCATGATTGCTTTAATTAACTAAATTCAGCCTTCACTCAACATGTTTAATCATATTGTATTGGATTTATTAGCAACAAAACAAAATATATCAGTTGTAACATAGTCAAACATTTGAAACGGTCATATTCCTTTTACTCGAAAGCAATATATGTCTATATTCTGTTTTTTTCACATTATAACGCTGACGAGGAATCGCACAGCAAAAAAGTTTCTTCAGTCCTTTTCTAAAGTTTTTACTCCACTTTACATAGAATATAAAATTTGAGCAAAATGACATGTATGACACAATCAAGACAATTTGATTTATGATATGATCTTTCAAAGTAACGTAAGATTCTCCCATCACATTGGACATTATGATGAATCTGATTTTGTTAATGTAACTTGGCATGAAAAGCACCATGTATGAAAGTCCTACTGCTAACAGTACTCGTGTTATGTGCATTAATGACCGATCTTTGTGCCTCAAAGGCTCAGCTTGTCCATATCGATGTAAAGCACTTTGTCGTATGTATTTTAAAATAATTGCACCAATGAGAACAGCTAGAACTGTCGTTGGCAGTATGAGGGTTATCACTGCGTCAAGATATGTGTAAATATTAATGACCTCATAGTATTTTTCCGCTTGTGTACACAGAGGTCTACCAGCATATTCAGTAACCGTCGTTGTCCAAATCGAAAAATCAAAAAAGGCAAGTGCAAAAAGCACCAGTAACAAAACCACTAGTCTAGCTTTTTGAACTGAGCATATTGCTGTTGCCCTTTTCAAATGAAAAGTAACAATGTAATTCTCAAATGTAATACATACGACGAACCATCCATTCAGGAAACTACAAACATATGTCGTGTAAATTATACCGTGACACCACACGTTCTCGTGCACGATTCTCACGTGAAAAATCTCCATCCAGACTAGTAAAAGTGCTATCAGAAATAAACAACTGGAAAATGACAAGGCTGCTAAGTAAATATTCGATGAAACGCGTCTCATTTTCTTTGAACAGAATACTATTAAGGACAGAAAGTTCCCAATTAGTCCAAAGATGCATAAAATTGGTTGCAAGTATGTTGTAAGCCATTGTGCAAATGAAAAGAGGACTGCTGGGATATACGGCTCTTCTGGTTCATATGTAGTATTCATCATGCTTTAAATTTCATATGTCCTGGCAGAAAATCCTAACAGCTATTTCGAATCTGAAATATAAGAAACATTTTTTTAAGGAACTGATTAAGTGAATTATAATAAAAAAAAAAAATGCTACATTTGTAGAACATTTAACTGTTGCATTTTCACAAATTTATTTTAACAATTAGGTATGTATGCTTAGTATTTAGTTATAACAAAATAAGGAAATTTGAAGCTGTGTAAGTAATATACGCGTGTGGTACCAATTTAAGTGCAAAACAGTTAAAGGCAGAAGTTTAGGGAGACAAATACATAAAACGTGCCATGGGGTAACTTTGTTCGAGCTATAAACGGTAGGATTTAAATCATGGCAACCTGGAATGATTGTATCATCGGGGACTGATAGTTAACCACATGGTTTTGTTTGAAGGAGTTGGTAGCTACATAGGTATAATTAAATGATTTAAATGCCAAGATATCAAAATATATCATTAAATGGTGGTTGTACCAAAGCACTGTACACATTTACATTATAAAATAAAAAAAGGATAAATCTTAATGTCAAAAAGGTAAAAATTTATAAATTTCATATACTGAATTAAATGCAGCACTAAACAATTGTACAATTAAACAAATGAGGTCTTAACATATCTCTACAAAATTGACCATTGAATTTTTTTATTGGGGGGAGGGGAATATTGAACAATTTTAATCTATATTAGTGTATTCTTCAAGGCGGATATTCTCCAATGCAATGGCAGTTTATTTTATTATTTTTTCTTTATGTTTTTATTTGCGAAAAGAATTTTGAATTTAGCAATGAATCATGAGACAAAAATCAGAGACTTTAAATACCACCGTATAACGTACTTGTAGACAAGTTCCCCCTTCGATAATGCAACACTACATATTTCAAAGATGTAAGTACATTTTAAAATAATGTAATACTGCTGGTAAATAATTTTATATGAAGCGAAGTATAAATGTACCTGTGTACTAACTGTAGTACATGCAGATCTTGTTATATATAATGCTATTAAAGAACACACTGGTATAGATTTAATATCAAAATATTTCATTGAAATTACATTACACAACACATGGGACTTGAGTAATGCTGTTTTATGTTCATTTCTATACCAGATGACCAAATATTTACTTTGAAATTCTACGAATGTCGATGAAATACAATATTTATTGTGATAAAGTTAAGTTCAAAATTACTATCAGCATCTGTTTATTACATTTGTCATTTTGTATTTTATTATTATTGGTGTATTTTTATTACCTGTTTATTGATTAAAAATCAACAATATTTTGCAAAACGATGTTGAATTTTATGCAAATATGTTACTTTTTAGAGGGACAAACACGTAATTCAGAACTGTCATTCAGGTTTCCAATCAGCATTCATCGTAATAATTGTTTGTAAAACTATTGACACATCATAGACACATGACGGAAGCACAATTATAGTGTTTTACACATCATACAAACATACAGTTTGTGTATGAAATTAGTTTGATAGCTTTACAATATAATACAATATAATGTGTTTTATCAATTGTGTGTAAAACCGTGTATACCAACGTGAGTTAAACCACGTCACATTCTGTATGTACCTATCCCAAATTAGTTACTGTTGTTGTCGTTGGTTGCTTTCTGCTATGTTTGTTTTTTCTTCATTGTTAGAGTTTAAATCAGGTCGTTGTTTTTTCTCTTTTGAATTGTTTCACATTTTGTTATACCGTGGCCTTTTATAGCTTACGTTACGGTATGAGCTTTACTCATTATTGAAGGTCGTACGGTGTCCTGTATATTGTTCACATCCGTGTCAGTTTGTCTCATTGGCAATCTTTCCACATTTCCATAATGTTTATATTAGGACAGTTACACGAGGATGTGGCGGGGTTCATACTCATTTCATTAATGTTTATATTTTGGACAGTTACATGAGGATGTGGCGGGGTTTATACACATTTCCATAATGTTAATATTGGGACAGTTATATGAGGATGTGGTGGGGTTTATACACATTTCCTTAATGTTTATATTGGGACAGTGACAGGAGGATGTGGCGAGGTTTATACACAATTCCTTAATGTTGATATTAGGACAGTTACTTGAGGATGTGGCGGGGTATATACACATTTCCTTAATATTAATATTGGGACAGTAACATGAGGATGTTGCAGGGTTTATACCACATTCCCTTTATGTTTATAAAGAGACAGTTACATGAGGCTGTGGTGGGATTTAACTAGTTGTTTAATATCTCAGTCCTCTCCTTATAATTTCGATCAGGAATTTTAAAAAAGGTAAGATATAGGAAAGTACATGAAATAAAAAAAAAGAAAAGAAAGGAAAGGAACTTAACTATTTTTTATAAATAAATAAATAAATAACACATAAATAACAACATCATATTAAAGAATACTTAGTCATTGAAAGGCAAGTATCAACAACAAATTAAAAAAAATAAATCAAAATATCCAAATTTAACGTTTCATTATTTTTTAAATTGACAATATATATCAACAGTTGCTGAAAATTTACCAAATAGTCGATATCTGACGGTCTCTTTTGGAAGAGTGGCATGCTATATACACGTTAAAGATTTTACGAGAACGACTTACATTGAGGCAAAATATCTACACTTGCAATACAGGAAACTATATAATCTTGAGTTAGACAAATTATCTAACCCCGTAGTGAGGCAAAATATCTAATCTTGCAATGGGGCAAACTATATTCCCCTGCAGTGAGGTAAAATATATACCCCTACAGCGAGGCTAAATATATTGCCCTGCAGTGAGGCACAATATGTACCCTGTATAGGGAGGCAAAATATGTTACCCTGATGTGAGGCAAAAAATTAACTCTGCAGTGTGGCAAAATATGTAACCCTGAAGTTATGCTAAACAACTAACCTAGCAGTGGGATAAACCTAAAACTGCAGTTGGGAAGAAAACTTACTCTTGCAGTGAGGTAAACTATATTATACTGCAGTGAGGAAAAATATCCCGACAACAATAAACATTTACAATCTTTCCTTTCCTTTTATTCCATTGTTAAAGCTTATTCCAATTGATCATTTGGTATACTTTTCTTGTCCTAAATATGTATTTGCCTTTTGCATTGGCATTGTTCCCTAAGACTCAATGATAAATAAATTGTTTTACAATCATAATGATATGACTATATAATGTCACTAGGAATTCTTATTTCCTTTTTCTTTTGTATATTATTTAAAGTTGTTGGTTAAATGACTTGCAAACTTGCAAGTAGATAAACAAAAAACATTTTGTCAAAAAAAAAAATATTAACTATTTTGGATAATTAAAAAAGATTATTGCTACTTACATTTATTATTGAATTATATTTTCTCCATGCTTTCAAACAATTCTGGTGATTATAAACAACAGACAATCAATGTTAAAACTACAATAACCACATATATTTAAATAAACGGCTGCTGTGAAAAACAATATGATTGTCATTATTGATTCTTAGTGACACAAAAAAAAGCAATTTTATTGGTGGCTATATTAGATTGACAGAAAATGTCCATCCAATCACATTGTGTATATTGTCGTGTCAATTTTCATTTTTTTTTTACCAATTCCTAACAGATCACGAGACCGCGATATATAAGCAAATACTTAAAATTAAAGAAATCGAATTGTCTTCTGCAAACGCTCACCATAGCACATACACTAGACACACCAAATAAAAATCAAAAGAAAGCTACAGAAAGAAGAAAGCATCGTCACTGTTGAGTATGTGATTAGTGGACATGAAACATAATATTAAAAGAAATTATTTGTTACAATGTAATTTGTGATATTTGACTGTGGCTGAGGTAAAAAGATTCCAATCGATTGATACATTTGTAAATAATTGTCTGACATTGGTTATTGTAACGTTCACGTGTGTGACACACTTGTTTTATTCATTTTTCGCATCTGTTCTCACGTATTTTAGATGCATTAGTATCATCTTTAAAAAAAGTTCAAAAAAACTTACTATGCACATATATTGCCTATGTGGGACTGACCGTGCGAGAACTTCATGGGTAGTCAAGGTCGTTAAACACCCCCTAGTAGTTTATATTGCAATTGTTTTCCAAATTTTTAAACCTATAAACATAAACTTTCACATTATAAACTGTAACCGAATTGTTTAAATTTGGAATAACATTGTTTACTCTTTTAACAAGGCAAGGTCTAAACTGAGTTCCTTCGTTTTCCTCATAAATAAGTTCAAATCAAATCCGTATTTTATTTGAAAATTTAATTTGAACTTCAAGGTCCATGTATATATATATATATATTTATGTTTAATGAACTCCAGTCTTACTTTACAAAAACCGAAATTCTGACAAGTTAAACTCTAATTTTAAACAAAGGTGTGTATACATTTTTTGAAACACTATATATGATTGAGAAACAACAAATATATAGTATATATATCTATTAGAATAATAGAGATTCAATTGTATCACATTATTGTAACATGTCAGACAAAGCTTGTAGATTTAACGACATAGACAACATGAAATGGTCGTTGAGTTAAGTGTGCATGAAGAAATAATCACCAATATTTTTCAATCGATTAGATGTAAAATAAATCAGTTTAACTGACAAAATTAAAGTAATTTATAATAAAACTTTGCACATGCCCACTACTAACGTCATAGTTTCCATATTATCATGTGATGTGAGTTAAATTATGTTCATTTTTGAAGACCCTTTATTTTAAAATGTGGTCGTCTTCTGTCAAAGTCATTTCTGATGAGCGCCTTTCTTGTAAGAAGTATCACATCTCCTGATTACTCAAAAGACAGAAAAGATTAACCTGCTTGAAATTGGTGTTTATAGATTTTATTCTTATTTGTGATTTTACTTTTTGACTATAAAAACATTTTTAACAACAAATTTAGATGTTTTATTTCTATTTCGAGCTTGTTACTACATCCTTTAGGAGTAGAAGCTCCTCTGTATGCTTCTTGTAACAATCCAATAATTTCCCAATGCAGTAATTAGT